TGGCGAACCTACACCACCAAACCCATCAAACCTTTAGATAAACTTCAACACACAGAAAATACATTAAAAACAGAAACTTCATATAACAGTCTTACTCCTCCTTCGAATCGGGGAGGCGAAATGACACTGTGGGCTGGTGAATTATCGCCTCCTGGAAACCAGTCACCCACCCAGTCTGTCTTCTGTCGATGAAAGCTAGAATAAGAATCGGGACTTGGAATGTCCTTACAATGTACGATGCTGGGAAGGCTGCCTGGGTCGCCAAAAAAAGTGAAGGTATGGCACAGAAGTTCTGGGTATCTGAGAGAGCAGATCGAATGGATGTGGACTGATAACACTGTCAACTGGAGAGTCAGTAATCTACTCCGGTCATCTAGATAAAAACCTTGAACACGCCGAGGCAACGAGTGGCTATCATGTTGTCACCAGTGGCAACCAAAGCCCCAGTGCACTGGGAACCAATTTCCCCTAGGATCGTAACAGCAAGATTCAGCTAAAAAGGAAGGTGAAAATTACCCAATGCTGCGCACCTACAAACAACGCGGAACTAGAGAAGAATGAAGAGTTCTACAGAAAACTACAAACAGTGGTGGACCACATCCCAAATTGCAATATCGAAACCCTCATGGGAACAGAAAATATAAGAAGATAACTCGTCATGGATGGAGAGGCTCTGGCTCGGTGAAATGAGTGAGAATGGAGAATTGTTGGTGGACCTCTGCGCTTTTAATGACCTGGTGATCGGAGGGAGCGTGTACAAACACAACACGAAGCACTTGCCGTTTTCGGGGTGCTAAGTGCCATAAATGTGGTAAAGTTGGACACATCAAGACGGTTTGCAGAAGTTCGAATACTTATGTTGCTCAACATTCTTATAATTCTCCCAAGCTGTCTAGTAAAATGGAGTCAATGTGTCTTTCAACTTTTCACAATTCTCAAGCTAATCCAATGAAAACCTCCACTACAAGTTCAGCAACGCAAGCATCAACTGTTTTCAAAAATGAGGTAGCTGAGTTACAATGCGAACTGTCGAAAACACGGAAAAAACTGAATGAGATGAGAGAGCAACTGATTAAAATTGAGGAATTACTGCATATGCATAGACTACGTCTGGTGAATCCAGAGCATACAAGTTCTTGTGAAAGTCCTGCAAAACTTTTCAAATCTCGAATTCTCAAAAAGCATCTGATGTCCATGACTTCTAATGTACATTATTACAAAGGGAATGACTATAGACATTCTGTTGGAATTATACTACAAAAAATGGGAAATCGAGTGGTGAAGATATTAGACATCAAAGATCACTCAGTTCATAACGGACACCTGGACAAAGTGACAATAAATGAAGTAGGTCGTTCCAATTATTATTTTAATGGTTCCGCTAATAATTCTGATTTTGTAGATAATTCAGAAATAGGTCCAGATAATACTGATGAAAATAATATCACAGAATCAGTTAGGTCGAAGCTACTTGCAAGCAAACCGAGACATCGTTATAAATACGCGAGGAGATATTCGACGTGTGGCGGATGTGGTGATTGACAATTTCTATCTCTGTATTGTTTAAAATACTTACTGTTGATTGTTAATATGTTTCATATATGAAATGCATTAGAATTCCGCTAAATACAAATTCCTGAATTCCGCCCTCTCTGTGTTTTGTTTGGATTCTTGTAATTCGGTCATCTCGAAATACAAATACTACGATTACAATAAATTACTACATTTCATCAACCTGCAACCAGTTTGGTAATCTTCCGCACTCAGCCTAAGGAACAATACTCGCACTCTCATCACCAATTTCAAGTCTGACCTTCCGGTTGACGGTGACTACAGCTGGTGGGTCCAGGATGGGCATTTTACTCAGCATAGATTAATCAGTGGAAAGTTTAGATCCACTTGTACGAATAACGACTGATAATAATATATATTTCTTCCTGTTTATGCAGGAGCATACCAATTGTACAGGCATGGATAAGTTATTATATAAATTACACATAATTTGATGTATGTACCTGTTGTACAAGAGGTGAATCTTGTGTTTCATTGGCCCAGTGAATAATTCCTTGAGGTTTGAGAAGATGGGTGCTGGCGTCAATCCTAAGAGTAAACATCGCGACTCACTGTGGATATACGTAAATTTAGGTAAAGAATTTCTAACAGGAAGTACTATTGTGGTGGTAGACAGCAATTTGTATAAATTTTTACGTCCCTATATCTTGGCCATGAGAAGAAACAAGAACAAAGACCAACCTTGAGGAACTCAACAACCAATCGCAGCAGACCTAGCGTGGGAGGATATGGTCTAACCTTCAAAGGGACGGCCACAAAGGGATGACAGAATAACCTTCAGCTAGAAAACAACCAATCAGTAGACGCTGTTTCTCTGATAACAATGACGAATAATAATAATGTACATGAAGATCTATGAATATCTGTTGATTTTCTCAATAAACGATTTGTTTCCTGGCCCTTGTCTTCTGTCATTACACTATGGATACTTGATTTCGCTGCTAGCCACCATTATCCAAGTAGTATTTTGTCCACTTTTATTGAGAAACTTTCAAATACTGCGCTAACTAACTAGCTAACTTTGAAGTTACAATTAAAATGAGATGAACTGAATCGCTTTAATGAACTGATTTAATTTTAATACACCACTGATAGGCTTAGCCTCAGATGGACGAAACGTATGTCATATATTTAGAGCACTGTGATCATTTGGTCAGCAGTAATTTTTGGAAGCTGTGGGTATAATCCAACTACTTATATCAAAACAAGTGTTCCTTCAAAAGGATTTCAGTGCTCTTATGTTAGAATATGAAATGATACCAGTGAGGGGATTAATTGGAACCAAACGATACTGGATAGCTGTTTTATCCTCTTCATCAGTATTCATCCATGAACACACCTGGGATCAAATTAGTTCTAAATTGATAGAACTGAAAATCAGTTGAACACCTAAAAGTGAACAATTGAAAAGTAATTCACTGCTAACTAGTGACTGATTGCAGGATGAATTTGACTGAAATCTCAGTAAGAAGTCGTGACCAATAGTGTCCAGCAAGTTAGGTGTGAGAACAGATAACCACCAGTGTCATCTGCTGGTAGTGTTACTATATATATATAGTTAGAATTCATGAGCTGATGACCTGATTCCTTCCTAGTGGCTGATTAGTCAACGGGCTCGTCTCCTTATCTCAGGGTTGTGAGTTTTGATCTGTGGTGGGGTTGTCATGATTGCGTAAACACGAAGTTTTGTTGAAAGACTAATAAACTCTTCACTGCTTTCAAATTTTCATGAGTTCTCCAGTTCACATGTGAGTTTGTGATAGGACTTAAAAGCGTGTTATTGGTTCAACTATAAACACTGGAATGTAAAAATGAATACTTTGATTATTGCTGAAGTGATCATCTGTAATGGTTACAGGATTTTATTATGAGCTGACATTGGCTAGAGAACTATTGGAAAAGCAACCAGGGAGTCCTGGATAACCAGCTGTTTCGTCAATCTAGTTTGGGACTGTTCATCAGTACGCGCAAACCACTAGGGTTCGAACCCACTACCTTCTAGTTACAAGGTTGAAGAGGAATACGAGAACAAAATCCCATTCTCGGACGTCTCAGTCAAGCGAAAAACCACAGGGGAATTAGAAACTCAAGTTTGTAGAAAATCACCTCACACAGACCAAATACTTAATTACAACAGCAACAATCCAGTAACACGCAAAAGGAGTTGTATACAAACGTTATTCAAGAGGGCCAGGACTCATTGCAGCACTTTGAAGTAAAATATCTCATGGACGTCTTTCAAAACGAATGGATATCCACGGAACTTCATCACAAGACATATACTCCCGAGTCAATCTATCAAAACAAAGAGACCCAAGGAAAGCGCAAAGAAGATCGCCCTACCATATATAAAGGACATCTCAGAAATCACTACAAGACTCTTCAAACCTCTAGGAATTGACGTCGTACACAAACCAACAAAGTCACTTCACTCAGTTCTATGTCATCCAAAAGACTAAACAGCGAAAGAAGATAAAACCAGTATCATCTACAAAATAAATTGTAACAGCTGCGAAAAACACTACATTGGCCAAAGTGGACGTCCCCATCGTCTTCGTTTTCACGAACATAAGCTAGCCGTCAAAAGATATGACATCCACTCCTTCATATCGCTGCATACAGATGACCACGGAAATCAATTCGACTAGAACAACCAACGTTCAAATATTAGACAGAGGAAACATCCTAGAGAATTTTTAGAAGTTTGGCATTCCAGTAAATCATCAATCAATAGACAAATGGAGATAGACAAAATTTATCCCCCAATAAGAAGGAAACCTCACCCACAAAGGGTCAAAGTTCAAGTCAAAGAAACAATCAGTTTTAATATACTTAGCCTAGAAGGTGCGAAAACACACAAAAACATCCAATCACACCCTAGGTCACCAGGAGAGATGGTTAATAAACTCGTGGAGAAATCTAAAAGCTCACTTCCTTTAAATTGAAGTGTGCACTGAAGATGTCGCCTAGTAGGGCGATTAAAGCTTGGCAAATTAACTATCCAGCTCAAAGAACATAACGACATCAAAATCATCCACTTGAGCTACAAATCTTCTCTGTCATACCTGGTTACAAGGCTAGCCAGCTCGTGGACCATTAGGCCTTGTGGCACCACATCCACTAGCCAGCCCATGAATTCCAACTACTGCCAATTTATGATATAGTGTGACTGACACTAGCCAATGTCATCGGTGGCGAGTGTTTGTCCTGTTCACGACATGTGCACGACATCCTACTATAACTCAGGTAGCTACCTACCTGAGTAGGGCCAGTCACTAGTGAGCATCTCATTGAATATTCAAGTATTGGTTTGTAAGGATTTGATCGATCGGTTGTTGGTTCATCTAATCTAAGACTTGAGCATAGTAACAAGGATTGAAAACACTCAATGACATACTTACACAAAACAAGGGAAACAAAAGCCAACTAAAATGGAATATTAAAAATTTTTTATGAGTTTTGATTTATTTATGATAATCTTGCATTTCTGAAGAAATAATCATGATAAAAGTAAGAGAGAGGCAGAAAGAGGAGGAGGATAAATTAATTTGGACAAAGTTTGATACGTACAAAATACTTTACAATTTACATATAATACATAAATAATCATTTCAAAGGCAATATACTCAATAAGCAAGTATGTGTAATTTAAACAAATCGACCTTTTCATCACACGGACTACAACCAGTAGTTCACATAATCCATGCTTCAACCACTCATTATCTCGTATGTAACAAAATGCGCGTTTGTGCGCGCTCGCTAGCACCGCTTGGACATGCTACACACTCATTGGCACCATTCTGGTCATCTTAGACTCTGACTAGTGTGTATATGACTGCTCTGTCAGCTCTACTGATCGATGTGTATTTTTACCGACCATCAACCTCGTTGTGGGCGGTCTGACAAACACAGGCGTTCCTTTCATTGAACTCTTCGTCTGCTTCTTCAACTGACTGATTGTCAGTCGCAGGTTGCTCGGTCTATCTATGAGCAGTTAGTTTGTCCAGATGAGTTGAGTGTGTGTCACAGTCAGTTTCATGTGTGTGTGTGTGTGTGTATGTGGTCATTACTGCTGTAGAGATATGGGAACTTGCTAGTTGTCAAATCACTATTAGTCTGAATAAAGCTCGTGTTAGTTTGCTCTTTTTCAAGCCTTTAAGTACAATCAATGTATATACATGTACAAAGTTAGGAAAACGTAAGAAAGACATATTATAGGATCAATAAGACTTCTGTTTAATCGAGTATTTGATTGATTAATGGTGATTAGGATAATGAGAATGCTCAGATTGATTGTTATTACTATTACTACATGTATTCTTATGACTAGTACTGTTATTGTTATTATTTTGTCTGTTATGCAATACAAACTCTTTTTGAAAGTTTGGCGGAAAGAGCTTCTTTTGTACAGAAGAATAACCGTCGACAATTGTCTTAGGATATTGTGTAGACTGAAGAGGAGTAGTACCATGTGATGTTTTCGGCGTTGACGAGGATTGTGATTGATTTCGATTGACCATCAGAGATGGTTCACGCGTCTGTTGCCTATTTTGTCATTTTAATGATGACCAAACACAAGAGAGAAAAAACAGAAAATAAATTGAATAGATTGAATTCTATATACCTTAGGAAGTGTGCATCGATGGTATCACCGGTAGAATGTTCACTAATCGCTCATGTGGTCGGGGGTTCGATCCCCGACTGATGGCCTCTTAGACCTTACTAAGTCAGTAGAAAGCACGGCAGAGTGGGAAGGTCGGGAGTGGGGCTAACAACGTCACTCGGTAGAAATACGTTCGCTATCCAAATGTATCACCGAACACTTACCAGCATGGTTCTACAAAGGAGAAAAGCGATGCCTCACAGCTCTTTCTTAGAACATCTTATTGATTCCAGACAACAAGTTTCTACAGAATACGAAGCAGTCTTCTTCAAAGTGTACGAATCAAACTTCTTCAGACTTCAGAAACAATGGCAATTCACTTGCTAAGTCCTGAACTCTGTATACAGTAGAAGTTCGTTCAATCACTACTCTTCCAATGGACGTTATATATCTTAATATCCGACAGGCAAATTCTATTTCTCTTTGTCTCTTCATTAGTATTATGTCGTCTTTACGGCAATGTTTTACATTTTCAACTTTCCTGTTCTCTGCCTTCACCCGATTTAATTTGTACACCTCATTACCACTGTTACTGACTTGACCAACGCTCAATTTCTAGTCATGTATGTTACGTCATCCAATTTATCTGCTAAATGTTAGTCCTAATTTAAATGGCATTATTCTCTACCCCCACCTCTACTTAGTCTCTCCCTACCCGTAATTACCTCTGTCGCTATTCTGACCTAAGTTGAAACATTTTAGTCAATTATATTACGTTATCTAAGTTACTAACTAACTCAATCTCACTTTAGCTGCTGTCTAATTAACCCTGTTTCCATGTTGTATCATTCTTGTATTACCTGATTAATTATCTAGACTTGAAAAACCTCATGTACACACACAAATAATTATATATAAATGCGATTGTACAGCCCTATGTGAATGGATTCGCCGTTGAAAAGAGTCTTTGCACTGAACGCCTGCCTGTAAGTCTTTGTGTTTGTGTGACATTAAACAAAAGTCATCCACGCACAAAATTCACATCTTCCAGAATCTCCTTATCGGTTCAACGCATTCCACAAGGTCTTCTCACTCTCACTCACAGTTTGAGGCATAATCCAGTCGACAACAATTACGATAATGGGCAGCGTTGTCTTACTCCTGTAAAATGCAACTGTGGATGTTGGATGAGGCTAGTAAAGATTCGCGGTAAGCCACAATATTAAAGTAGTTTCAATATGTGTAATAGTGCAGTCAATAATTCCGAAAGAGTTTGTATTCACCGCTTCAGTAATAGCAAGTTCCAAAGTATTTTATACATTTTCAAGGATGTTTTGAATCCAGTAGAATGTAGATTTCGACTCTTTTTCACTTAACATTTTAGTATAGGCATCATCATTTTATTATTGTACTGATTCAGTTTTAAAGTTTATCATTTTTAAACGTTTCTTTATGTTTCCAAGGAAAAATAAGACTTTACATATTTTTCCGGTTTTTTTTAGTAGTGGTGCCATGTTTACGTGAAAGGGTCACTAATTTGGCGCTCAATCTTTTCTATTTTTCAGACTTACCATCAGTTAGTGAACTTAACGAGATTTAAGTGTTCTTTGGTCAGGAGGAATTGAACTAAGACAGCACGTATAGCTGACGAGTGTACTACCAGTAAGCCAACAACACGCTTCGGATCATCTATGCTGATACTGGCCACAATTAAGTAAAATGCAGTTGAATTCCTTTCACAAAGTATGCATTAGATATATCACAGTTCAGAATAAGTTTTAACATGGATTGACAAATTCCCTAATATGTACATCAGTATAGTGTATTATAGGAAGTGAAATACAGTTTACGTAAACAACAGCGATACAAAAGCGTTTTAATGTATTAAAAATATTTATTCTTTGTTTGTTAAACCCAAAGCATATTTTCCCCACTAAAAAAAGACTGAACATAATCCCCCTAGTGAATTAAATAATGGACAAGTGAATGCAACTAATCAATAAAACAAAACAACTGTGATATTCACAGTTGTGTGCATGTTTGTGTGCGACTGACACAAATATTCACTCTTCATCATTTAGCGAAGCTATACTTCTTATTTGTTTAAGTTAACTTGAATTTTCAGGTGTCAGTTTGCTGACATTTGATTGGTTACAGGATGCCATCACGAGCTGATATCCTTTAGAAAACCATAGGAGAACCACTAGGGAATCCTGGACAGCCAGCTGCTTCCTCCTAGTTTAAGACCCTTCGTCATACCACTGGAAAACCTGGGAGTACTGGATAGCTGTTTCGTGCGAGTTTGGGGCCCTTCATCAGTACGCGCCCAACAAAGCGGTTCGAACCCACGACTTTTCGGTTACACGACAAGCTAGCTCATAGGCCATTAAGCCACTGGGACCCGGTTCAATAGCCAGTCCATGAATTATAACTTCTGCCAATTTACGACATAGCATGACCATTTCGTAATATCTTCTTCGATGAGTTACTACCTCATCTTCAATCTGCTGTACCCTACTGGTCACGGCTTCCCACTAGAACCCCGGGTTAACTGCCTGAATGGGACCAGTCGCTAGTGAGCATCAGATTAATTTTCACGTAGGAGTTTTGTTTGATTGAACGGAGTAATTCATCATGAGCTGACATCAGTTAGAGAACCACTGGAAAACCACCTGGGAGTACTGGACGGGTGGATGGTCAGATTAACTAAGACGAAACAGCTGTCCAGTACTCCCAGGTTTTCCAGTGGTTCTCTAATTGATGTCAGCTCATAATGAAATCCTCCATCCTTCTCACTAAAATAACGCCCACCGTTTCATTGATCATGATTGTATACTAATTGACTTTTTGAATCATACATACATTATTGTATAAAATATATACTGTGGCGGATACTTTATGTTCTCGCATAAGTAGATCGGGCTGGCGAACAGATCGATGTCGTATTAATGTTTTTGGCTTAATGAAGCAGCAGTACTTGTGATCGGCGTTTCTGTGTCCAACTCGAGACCCCCAATTGCAATCTCAATGCTACTGCAAAATACAAAAGTGATGACAGCATTAACAAACCTCTGGTGGGAGACACGGGTAAGTGATACTGACGAGTTTCAAGCTGGGACGAAACGGTTACTGGGTATTCTGTGGACTTCAGTAGTTCTCTGAGTCTTTTGGATTTGCCATTTAACTTGAAATCAATTATAATACCGCAAATATTTTCTTTTTCATTCCTTATTTTTTTAACATTATGTGTAATATTATCGCTTATCTGAAGAATATACTAGACAGAAATACACTTGTGTATTTGGATAGTGTTGTGATTAGAAAACGGAGATTATCTGGAAAAAGGACTGTGATGTATTTGTGCTATACATTTCGAACAATCTGATCCCTCACACATTTATTTGTCAAGTCAATATATATGGAAAAGTTAGTTAAATTAAACAAAGTGATAAAAAGTGGATTTAAGAATGATTAACACAACGTTTGGTAATCCAATCATCAAATAAGGATTACCAAGTCAAGGTAGGTTAAGAGTAATAACAAACTGTTTTTGAATACACAAAGGGGGTTTAAGTTTATGCATAGCTGTAGTCTAAGCGCATTTCAATAAGCTCTCTTGACCGTTTTTATAGATGACCTTACAGGCTGAGTTAACATCAATCTTATGGTTCATCTCGATTAGATGTTTAGCTGTAGATGAAGTTGGTAGTCTGTTACCTGGTTTTTCACAATTCATTTGTTTTTCTAACCACTTCGGGATATGCTCTCTGTCCTCCCCCCTCACGTGCAAAGCACGATTACTCCTGGCTACAACACCCTCCCCCATGAAGTAGCAAAATCAACGCAAATGTGGTGAGCAAGTTCACTATGTAAACGCATACTACTTTCATAATTCTACACACTGACAAAATCCAACAATCTACACTTGGTTTTACTATCTTTACCAGTTCGCTAACTTGACAACAAAAAACGACGCAGACTGATGAATGATGATCAAGTATTTCACAGCCTACACTTAGTTTAGTTACCTTTACCTACTCCCCAACATGACAACCAAAATGACCTCATACTGACGAACGATGATCAAGTTAGTAAACTTTATTTTGATATAATAACAGATATACTATTACCTTTGATATTTGGTTTGAACGATCTTCATTGTTATTTTGACTTTCAATATGTCCTTTTAAGTTGAACTAAGTCTATATTTTTCTCACCCTCTAATTCTTTGTTATATATATGCTGAGATTTTGTAAATTCCGGTTTAATAATACTTTGAGAAAGCTATTAGCATTAAATAGCGAAACGTCAGTAAAAACAATCTCGTTTTGTTTTTTCATTCATTGGGAAATACAAAAAACCTCTATTATAATGAACACGATTACTCCTCCCTATATATGTGTGTCCACACACACACACACACACACGAAAATTGATAAATAGTGTGGAATGTGACATAAGTATTGGTTTGTTGTAGGGATTTTGTTTGAATGTGACATAATCACTTGTGCACTTTTGAGGTTTGCAGTGGAGCATATTTTTGGCTTTTTCGATAACTAATTTCTAAATTGCCCTTCTATAGAAGGAATGTAGGTGATATCATTTTGATATACAACGATCATGAAGATGCGAGTCGTCTATTAGATAGACTCAACTCTGTACAGAATCATATTAATCTTACATGAGAGGAAGAAAGTCGCAACCAGCTTGCATTTTTAGACATACTTTAGAGTCGAAGAGATCATGGTTCAATAAGACAATCAATCTACAAAACGTCCAATTGGACAGGACAATACTCTAATTACCAGAGTTTCTGTCCATTACAGAATTAGAGAGGCTAGGTGAAATGTCCCTTTAAGAGGATTCAACGTCTTTGTACGGCTGATATTATAGACAAAGAAAATGAAATATTGATGGATACTCTTATTGAAAACGGATATCTTTTTAAATTTTTAAATAGGTGTAGAAGTCAATTAATCGTTAAACCTAAAATGTATACGGCCCCTTAGATAAATGTTTTCATCAAATTACCATTTAAAGGGGGAAATAAACAGTAGGATTTTGAGAAAAAGGTTAAATTCGGTCATCCGGCTTGTAATTATCGAAAAAGCCAAAAATATGCTCCACTGCAAACCTCAAAAGTTCACAAGTGATTATGTCACATCTCACACTATTTACCAATTTGTGTGGATGTGTGTGTTTGTGTGGGCACGCATACATAGGGAGGAGTAGACGTGCTTTGCATGTAAGGGCAGTACAGCATATCCAGAAATGGTTAGAAAAACAAATGAATTGTCGAAAATCAATAGACATAGGCGGGAGACTACCAACTTCTAATCGAGATGAACCATAAGATTGATGTTAACACGGCTTTTAAGGTCATCTATAAAAATGGTCGATGGCGCTTACGCCGAGGCTGTAGCTATTCATAAACTTAAGCCAATCCCCGAACCCAACACTGTGTATTCGGAAACAGTTTATTATTACTCTTAACCTACCTTAGTAATCCTTGTATGATTGGATTACCAAACGTCGTGTTAATCATTCTTAAATTCTTCTTCTTGTCACTTTGTTTAATTGAATTGCCCTTAATTTTTTTCATATGTATATACTGACTTGACAAGTAAATGTGTTAGGGATCAGATTGTTCGAAATGTATAGCGCAAATACATCAGATCCCTGTTTTTCAGATATTCTCCGTCTTTTAATCACAAAACTGTCGGAATTTATAAAAGGGACTAATTGTTTTAAACACTTGTGTATGATTGCATGGAGGATTTCATTATGACCTGACATCAGTTAGAGGACGATTGGAAAACCACCTGGAAGTACTGGACAGCCAGTTGTTTCGTCAACCTAATTTGGGACTTTTCATCAGTTCGTACCCACCACAGAGGGTTCGAACTCAGGACCTTCCGTTTACAAGGCTTGCTGGTTTGTAGACCATTGATTCACTGGGAACCACCAATCCCGTGGCCAGTCCATGAATTCTAACTTCTGTCAATTTACGACATAGCATGACCATTTCACAATGTTTTCTCCGATGAGATACTGCCCCATCTTCAATCTGCTGTACCCACTGGTCATGACTTGCCACCCTTGCCGCCCCAGGTCACTACCTGAATAGGGCAGTATGATACTAAGGATATTGTTTTAGTGTTTTCCCTAACGAGGCATACTTTCAGTAGAATTATTAAAAGATGCAGTGCATTAATGAGTACTATAAAATGTTATATAACTGTTGTGAATACTGTGATAGATATGCGTAAAGTTTCACTTACCAACATTGTTTAAAGTTGACCGGAGTTATATAATGCACAGGTACTGATTTATTATTACCATTATTACTATTAATATTAGTATTATTGTTATTGTACGCACAGCCTAAATTGATCTCCCAGCCAACAGAATGATTTTTTACGTTATTACAAGTTGAAGATGCGGAATTCATTTGATTCACTGTCGCCGCCGCCGCTGCCACTACTGCTGCTGTTGACGATGACGGCGATGAGACGGATGGAGAATTTTTAGATTCGTCGAATTCTCCTAGAGGATTGCTTCTACTGCTCTTTTTCTTTGGTTGATTTAATTGATATACAAGAAAAGGCTGACAAGAGAGAAAAGAAACAAGTGTAGACAAAAGGGAATAGATTCGTAACACTATTCAACTTGGGTTTCTTTTTTTTAAGCAAAACTATATATTAAATTAATACTCTCCATTGAAACATAAAACAAAGAATTTAGCGAGGAAAATTCTCTTTGCGACAATTTCACTTACTTTATACGAGTTTGACCACGGACTGATATCAGTTGGAGAGCTGTTGAAAACCTCCAGGGAGTACTGGACAGGTGTTTCCTCAGTCCTAGTTTGGGAATCATGGTAGTACGCATTCACTACCAGGGGTCGAACCCAGAACCTTCTGGTTACAAGGCCAGCTAGATTGTATACCATTCAGCTACTGGGATCCGATTCAATGGCCAGCCCATGAATTCTAACTCCAACCAATTCGTGATTTAGCCCGACTGGCAACAATCATTGTCGTCGGTGGGAACGCCATCCTCACAATTGACTGGATAGACCTCACTGGTCATGACTTCTCACTAGAACTCCAGGTAACTTTGTCCTGCATCAAGTCACTAGTGAGCATCTAATCCTTATGTTATGTTGCTACTGCTGAGTGGTTAATAGTAGTTTTCCCCGTCGCCAAATTGTTATGTACTCGTCGCCAAATTATTGCCATGTACTGGTCGAGAAACTAATAGTCCTGACGCAAGAAGGCGGAAATCAGAAGACCACTAGGTTTGCGATGATACTTCTATTTTCCAAACACAAGGAGAAGCAATAAGTGGTATCACACCAAAGTAGTCACACAATATTGTGAGAGCGAAATATATATGAATGTCCAGACAAAGTGTGTGAACAAATAAATAGACAGTCTTAACATGAATGGCTAATTATAATGGAGTATCGATCCAAATATACATAGCGAAATATAGCAGACATGTCAACAACCACCATATATGGATATATGTCCTCAAGCAACGGACTGTCAACAAACACTCATATTATATATAATATAAGGGGAATATACATTGTTAAAGGAGACAAGTTCATACAAGTGAAATGGTCACAGACTAAGAGAGCAACAGAAAGAGAGATCATATATATATATATATATATATATATATATATATATATATGGATACATATCACCTTACAAACCAAATTCTTCAAAATTTCATTTAATTGGCTATACAATCGTATATGTGTATGAATTACAATGCACAATAACAATCAGTTTTCTTATGTGTGCGTGTTAATTTTAACATTGAGTGGAAATACTAAAGTGTTAGAATAATATTGCTGTATCCGAATTGATTAGATATATGAAATGACAATTAGTCTGTTGCTTACCAGCGACTGGCTCTATACAGGAGGTTACCTGGGATTCTAGTCACAAGTCGTAACCAGTGGGGTACACCAAGTCAGGCAAGAGAACAATTCCCAAATCATGAATTAAAAGAGAGTCTGAACGAAAATCGAATAAACCGGAACTTTGCATCCAAAAAGAACACATTCAGACGCTGTTCCTACCGTGGCCAAACTTGGATTGATGATTCTCCTTCCACTCACCAAGAGTGCTTCTTCCCCTTAACTCTCTTGGTTTTTTTTCTTTCTTTGCTTAATATTACAACTATTACTATTATTCCATTATGGGTAAATTTTGTTTGATAAAGTCTCACAGCGTTATACACAAGTTTTATTCTTATATCAATATTACTATTATTATTCGTCATAATTTATGCCCTTCGTGCAAACATTCCCTAAAGACTATCAAATTTTTCATTTATACTATCTGGACTTATTATTTGTAGTGATATTATCTCTTTTCTCAATATATGCCTTCCTCCACCTGTTTCATTTCACACATTCGTTATTTCATTATGAACCCCTCTCATTGCAGTCTTACTATCTCCTGTTTAACACAGACCACTTTGTACTAGCTAATCACCCGCCTGATACCTTTCATAACCTTGAACTGACTTACTTGTCAATTTTCCTACCCCACACTCTACAAATCTATTATGACGACTAATCACCGCTACCATTGTCTCCCATTTTACCGAAATATTTTGTAATCGATTTCAGGCTACTAGCACGTTTGTCACACAAATATGACTATTTATTTTGACAATCCATAACCGCTAATCTGTTATTCTACATTTAAAAAAATATGTATCCGCCGCATAACTAACTGGCTATTATTATTGTATCGACAACAAATATTATCATTTTATAATTGTAAGAACCTGAAGAGGAGAAATTATTTAAAAGAACATGTGATGTAGGGATATTTCACACTATTAAAGAGAAGAATTACTCGCCCAAGACACTGGCTACCGATTGAACTAAAAAAAAATGAATATCATGGATTGGCAAAAGTTGGAATTCATGGACCTCTGGGTCGGTTCCCAGTGGTCTACGGGCTTGCGCTGTTAACTGGAAGTTCTTAGGTTCAAACTCTGGTGGTACCTACTGATGAGGAGTCCCAAGCACTAGGACGAAGCAGCTGGCTGTCCAGTACTTCCTAGTGGTATTTCAATGGTTCTCTACCTGATGCCACCGCGTGATCAGTCCTGTAGTCAATCAAATCCCTGCAAATCAACGTTTGACAAATTAATATATAAAGATCAGTCTAAAGTTCAATAGACATGAGTGAAATAGATGACAGGTAATTGAAGTACGTGTGAATATATGTATATAAAATGATGAGAATGTAAGATGAGTGAAATGTTGTCAAACTGCTAGACTAAGTAAAATGTTAGAATATGATAATCTAAATTGGAATAAAATAAAACAAAAAGTTGGACATGGAATAAAGAAAAATAACTAAATTTCTATGTTAATTACATAGTAAAGTCAAGACTATGGTACGAATTGTTTTATACATAAAATTGTAGCTGTTTGTTATTGTATTACTGAAGCCTCCACTATACAAAGAAAATTCACATGTTTCCCTTTCGCTAAACTTTTCTGAACGATGTAGCGCAGATGGTGCGTGGTCAGTATCTACAATATGTTGCGGTGTCGATGGGTCAATACATCTACGCTCTACTTTGTTGAGCCAAACTAGGAGGTGCTGCCGAAGGCGACGAGATATGTTTCTCGACAAACCTCCGATGTGCCTAGTTTCGCAAGAGTAGGTGAACATATAAGTACATATGGAATTATACAATTGAGGTAACATTTCCTTAACATTAGGGTTTACCAGTGGATGGTTAGTGTAAGTAATTGGTAGGGTGTCAGCAAAGAACATTTTTCTTAATGATCTTGTCAGACGATTTTTAAGTACTTCACTCACAGTTTAAGCCTTAAATTCTAAGTTAACGTGCAACACTTTTCTAGCTACCTTATCTGTCTCTATATGACTTCAACCTATTTTGCTATTGGCGTAGAAGAAGTGTAGTGGATACCCATTCTCTATGAAGGTTTCTTTTAATAGTTTGATTTCATTGTCAAAGGTGTCTTCATGAGAAATTCTCTGGACCGTCGTTGAGACAGAACCGATTAGATTCCTTTTCTTCTGTCTATAGGGACGAAACTGTAAAAATCGGCCAGTTGTCCTGTCCACGTTGACTTTTTATAAGTAGATTTTTTCCAAAGATCTATCAGCTGTCCTTGTGAGTAGTACAACAGAGAAATTTCCCATGGTTGGTTTGTAAGGATTAGTTTTGTTTTTACCAATTGATCACAGATTGCTATCAGTTAGAGAATCATTGAAAACTGCCAGAAAGTACTGGACAGCTGTTTCGTCAGCCTGATTTGGGAATCATCAGCAGTATGCACCCACCACAGGGGGTTCGAACTCAGAACCTTCTGGGGACATGGTAAGCAAGCTTATATACCATTTAGCCACTGGGACCCAATCCATCCTACATCCTCACACCTGACTGGATGGTCAAGAGCTTTCTTAGTAAGTGGAAGGTCCTGGGTTCAAACCCCTTGTGGTGGGTGCGTATTGCCGATGATTCACAGACTAGGCTGACAAAACAGCTGTCCAGTACTCCGTGGAAGTTTTCAATGGTTCTCAAACTGATATCAATCCATCATCAACCCGTAAAAACATCAAAGTAAGATATTTTCCTATGAGTTTCTTTTTCTACACTAAATCGGAGAACAGGATGACTGTCATTGAACACCTTCAAGATGTCATCCAAATAGCAGTTCTCGTCACAAATAATCAATGTGTCATCCACATATCATTTGTAAAAGTTAAGCGCCTTTATAGCAGAACAACATATTCTCTCTGTCATTTAGGTTTTGTTAACCCATTTTTATCTTTGATAACATATACTGAATGAATTCAGATAAAAGGAAAACAATTTTCCAGTTGAGGAAATTCTTCTTAGAGATTTCACTTATTACAGATGAACAATTGTCATCTGTATTAACAATCAGAAGTGGAGGTCATGAATGAGTATCTCTGCTAACACTAGCCATCAGATCTGGCTAATTTGTTCCCAAAAAGTTATCCATAAGTTGGGAGATAACCTAACTGTAGTCAATAATGTGCGCGTTAGCAAGTCCAGTATTGTGGTGAGAGCTGCCTGCTAGACAAAAATTAGTAGACAGCAATTTACGTCAGTGTTTACGTCCCAAATCTTGGTCATGAGATAAAAAAAAACAAGAACAAAGACTAACTCAACAACCAATCACAGCAGACTTAGCGTGGGCAGATACAATTCGCAGATAAATGGTCTGACCTTCAAAAAAACAGATTAACTTCCAGTAAGAAAACAACCAATCAGAAGATACTGTTTCTCTGCTAATAATAACGAATAATAATGTACATAAAAATCTATAAATATCTCTTGATTTTCTCCATAAACGATCTGTTGCCTGGCGCTTATCTTCTGTCGTTACAGTATTGCAATATTTAATAAGCTTTAATTATGTAAACGATATAAGTCAGGGTTTTGTACGCAGAAAAGACTATTTTAACCACACCCATTATTCAATATCTTAATCTTCTGATATGTGTGAAGCAAAACGAAACTTCTACATTTTAATGTAACATTCTAATTATACCTTTTTCTCATTTGTAATTCGATGCTAAATTTGTTAGAATTTCTAATCCACGGTTTGCAAAGGTTTTCCACTACATGGCTGAAGCAAAAATAGTTGTTTAACGTAATTCCATTATGGGTAAGTATTTGTTTTGATAAAGTCTCACAGTGTTATACAGTAATGTTTACTGATGACGTTTCGAGCACAATTTATTGCTCATAATCATATCAAGGTAATCACACGACTTCCTAACTTCATTTATATAGTTCAATTGTTTTTCTCTTGATTTTCACTTGATTTGATTGGTAATAGTATTTTCCATATTTCAGGTATGAGTGACGAGTCATTCCTATTGCATGTGTTGGGTGTAGACTCGATGAACAAGGATTCAGTAATCAACCTCTCTCTCCACCTACCTAGATTACTTTTTAGAATTTTAACCCTCTCCCACCCTATTGTGTGGTTGTGTGTTAGCGCATGCATTGCAATTGCTGAGCTTTTTTCTAAATTACTTATCTTCTCGGGGTCAACCATTCTTACCTTAGCTAAATTTTTATGCTCTGACAATCTGACTACCCCTGACCTACTAGTTTGACCTATGTAGTTGACCCCACTCACAGTCATTGCATGGTATTTTGTAAATAATATTATTTTGTCTAATTGGGTCAACTGGGTCCTTTAACCTACAGAGCTTGTCCCTGAGTGAGTTTGTAGGTTTAAATGCCACCCTAATTCCTATTTTATTCAGAATCCTACGTAGTGTCTCAGATGTCCCCTCTTTATATGGTATAACTGTGGATGACTTATATTCTCATCCTTTAACTGTTAAGGCAGGCTTAGTTAAATGTTTAACAAACCGAGCAGTGGCACTAAGTAGCACAAAAAACGATCTAAATGATGAATTAAAACAGATAGAAGAAGCGTTGGTGTTGAATAACTATCCTATAAAATTCATTAGGAAGATCACTAAAGGCCAAAAACAAAATAAAAATAATTGTGAAACTAGTAATAATAACATAAATAAGAAAGAATATAAGTCATCCACAGTTATACCATATAAAGAGGGGACATCTGAGACACTACGTAGGATTCTGAATAAAATAGGAATTAGGGTGGCATTTAAACCTACAAACTCACTCAGGGACAAGCTCTGTAGGTTAAAGGACCCAGTTGACCCAATTAGACAAAATAATATTATTTACAAAATATCATGCAATGACTGTGAGGTCAACTACATAGGTCAAACTAGTAGGTCAGGGGTAGTCAGATTGTCAGAGCATAAGAATTTAGCTAAGGTAAGAATGGTTGACCCCGAGAAGATAAATAATTTAGAAAAAAGCTCAGCAATTGCAATGCATGCGCTAACACACAACCACACAATAGGGTGGGAGAGGGTTAAAATTCTAAAAAGTAATCTAGGTAGGTGGAGAGAGAGGTTGATTACTGAATCCTTGTTCATCGAGTCTACACCCAACACATGCAACAGGAATGACTCGTCACTCATACCTGAAATATGGAAAATACTATTACCAATCAAATCAAGTGAAAATCAAGAGAAAAACAATTGAACTATATAAATGAAGTTAGGAAGTCGTGTGATTACCTTGATATGATTATGAGCAATAAATTGTGCTCGAAACGTCATCAGTAAACATTACTGTATAACACTGTGAGACTTTATCAAAACAAAATTTACCCATAATGGAATTACACTCTACCACAGTGCACAAGTTTTATTCTTATATCAGTTGTTTAACGTGGCGATCAATGTAGCTATTTAGTTTTAAATGCTGCTTAAAATACACACCAATCAAGTTTGCAAAACAGAACACATGTTTTCAAATGACTGAGTATCACTTTCATATCAGTTTGTTTATTAGATATATCACACAGTGAAAGCTTATGCAGAATTCTTAACAAGACGGGCAGGAATAAAAGTGGCTGGAATTCAAACCAACCATAAACTCAATTAGAAACAAGCTTTGTCGGTTAAATGGTGAATCCTGTCAGTGGGGTCTTTAAAACAAAACAATTTCGTTTATCTAATACCCTGCTGTTGGAATGATTGTTAGGTCAAATCCATAGGTCAAAGTAGTAGAACAGGGGCAGTTAGTCAGACTAGCCGAACATAAAAATCTAAATTAGTTGACTTGAATCAGATAAGAAATCTAGAGAATAGTTCAGCTGTAACACTCACTACATGGAATTACACACAACCACATTATAGGATGGTGTAAGAGAGAGATTACTAACGGGAACTTTGTTTATCGAATCAACTGAGACTGGATACGTGTAATAGGAATGAGTCAACACCTGTCCACTCAGATACCTGAAAAATTCCACTACCCCTGTAACGACAAATAGGAGGAGAGAACAAAGAAAACTATAAAACTCAAGTTTCGAAGTCGTGTGTGATTATAATTGATGAAATGATTATGAAAAATGAATAAATCGCATTCGAAACTGTGTCATCCAGTAAATAATAATACTGTTTCACTGATTGTGTGATACATCTAATGAATAAAGTAATATGGAACATCTTTTGAAAGAACATATAAACCCACACATTATGGCTTTATATTTCTTTGAAAGAAGATAGATTATGCTTCTCATGAATTAGTGTAGTTTATCAGCTGGCTCTAAAGAAGAAAAAAGGCTGAACGGGAGCTAGAGATCCTAACCTAGAGAATCGGCCTAATGACTACGAAAACTTTGAAGCATAACAAAAATATGAAAAACCAAAATAATTCTTTTGCTGGGATCAAAGACATAAAATGACGCGGGTTGTTGAAAGACTTTGAGAAGACTGTCAGTCAACCTGCCCAAAGACCAAAGAAGAGCACCTTCACTCTCTACCAGGACTGACGCAGAATCATGCTCCTATCCACATCAAGCAAAATCCAAAGTCGCGTCTTCCTACAGATACTGAGAGATATCTAGAATGCAAAACCGAAAGAAGCTGGATTCCGTAGAAAAAGTAAATCATGCGCGGAACAAATTGTAGCTTTACTCATCATGATTGAAAAAAGCATAGAATGGTAGTCGAATTTCTGTATCAACTTTGTCGACTTTGAAAAGGCCTTCGGTAGCATTGACCTTGAAAAAATTTATAAACTACTTAAGTACTACGGAGTATTCTAAAGCTTTATCAGATTCATTCAACAAGGTGTAGATTACCAACACAAATGTCATATCATTGCTTCTATATGGTTCATAGGCTTGGCGTATGACGTAAAGCATTTACAACAGCTTACAGACTTTCACCAAAAGCTGCTTCCTTTCCTCCTTTACTGAAGGAATACAAGATGGATGATCGGAAATGATAAACAATAAGGATCTGTGACAGTTGAAGAACCAGCCAAGAACATATCATCCAACAAACAAGCAGAAAGAAACAGATATTAGGTAGTTGAAGGCAATCGGCAGGAAGGTTCCTTGCCTGACATAAGTTTTGTTCTAGTTGACACTCGTCAGCAAGGAGTATCCTCAATCTTGAAGAAAGTGATGTCCCTTCTGACATTAGAACTCACATCGCCCAGTGACGCCTGCAGTCACAGATATTATCACTGAGCTATTCGAGCTCGCGATTGACCTCTTGTAGGACTGTGGTGAGTATTTTCATTGGACGCTAGTAACTGGTGTGACGTGTCTAGTTCTTTCTTTGGTGAAAATATCCACTACAGTCCTACAGGAGGTCAATCACGGGCCCGAATGACTCAGTGGTAACGTCTCTGACTACAGGCGGCACTGGGTTACGCGAGTCTTAATCTCAGAAAGGACATGAGTTCCTAGAAAGCTGCAGATACGCCTTGCTGACCGGGGTGTGCCAACTAGCACGAAGCCTAGGTCACGCGAGGCTTCATGTAGCCAATCGCCTCCAACCATTTAATATCATCAATTCAAAGAGAATCATGATGGCCAGCCACCCCTGACATAGTGGCCACATTGCAAATGTGACTGACAGAATTCAGTCTGTACCACAGAAAGGACTTGACACGTTACACTAGTTATTATCTAGTGTCTAATCCGATTAAGGAAACATAGACAAATGGATTAGAGACAGTCCAGGCTGTCAAGTTAAGCCAGAATGGGAAACCGGAAGTTGGACGTCCCAGTGTGAAATAAAGGAGATCATGTGGTGTAGAGAGGAAAGCTAATGCGGAATCATGAAGCCAGCTAAAAGGGATTTTAGAGAACATTGTGCAACGCACCTATGTTTCATTCAGAACCCAAGGGAATAATAACAATAATAAAACAAAATTGGAAAATTACCATTGTAATTACTTCACATACCTCGTTAGTGATATGTTTACCATTGTTTAACTGATTTCTAACAATCCATTGTGGATAATTATTTCCTACTGATTGTATCGGTTGTATTCTAGTATTCAATGTAGTGTTCAATGGTTCAGTAGTTTTTATTGATTTTCTTATCTGTGAAGAATATCGATCATAATTTCTAGTTGAATTATTATAATGAGTCAGATTTAAAAGATTAGATTTATTCAGTGTAGACATATCCGTCCAATTTCCGTTTAACGTTTTTTGATTACTTTTGCTTAACAGGATTTCATGTGTGTTTGACAGAGGCTGATGAGGATAATTGGTTACTTTCGAAGGGAGGTGTTGCTGTTGTGGTTGTTGTTGAGGATTTTGATGAATAGCTTTCACTTCATAATTTGTTTTATACGATCCATTATTAACTGGATTTTTCTGTGGTGTGGATATTGTTTCCTGAAAAGAATAAAATATAAATAAAAAAAATGCAGGAACAATAGAAAAGATTTGTAACTCAGGTGGATGATTTGCAAGTGATAGTGTCCTCCGGGACGGACAAGGATGTCAAATCGAGTGAGAAACACATTCATCAACCTGAAATCAATCTGGAAATCTTCGTCACTCAACTCAGCATCAACAACAAAATTCGGTCGGATTTTCAATACAAACAACGTCAAGTCAGTCAGCTCTTCTATACGGATCAGAAAGTTGGCGGGTGGGTCACAAAGAATATTTCCACCAACAGCCTGTTGCAGACCTTTATCAACAACTGCCTTCTCTCTTTACTGAAGATCAAATTTCCGGGACGAAAGAATCACCAACAAGAAACTATGGGAACAAACAAACAAAACAAGAAGCAATCGCCAACCAACAAATATGCAGGAGAAAGTGGATTGAGATGGATTGGACACTCTTTAAGGAGGCCGGTAGGTGACATCGCGCGCGCGTCAGGCCATTGCTCGAGTGGAACTCGAAAGGGAAGCGGCGAGTGGGACGTCAGTTCAAAGGTAACATGGAGGAGATCGTGTGAAGAGGAGTCGAAAGAGTATGAACTAACATGTATGCAGGTGAAAAGTACAGCAGAAGGAAGACAGAAGCAAGTGGAGACGTGCATTTGAAGCCCCACGTTCCTCTAGGAACCCAAAGGAACAATAACAATAATAATGAAATGAAATTGGAACATGGTGAAGAATTCGTATGAATTCAAGGGAAAAATAAACATGACTCATATTGAAGAAGATGAAGTAATGCCAAGTTTCGATATTTCATTCATGATTCATGAATGTTCCTGTTAATGATTCTTTAAGTATTATTTATAATTTAGTTTGTTCTGACGACGAACTCAGTGATCGTTGTCTTTTAAATCCAGACGAAATTATTAAAACATTCGAATTGTGTCTACGTTCCACGTTATTGACATTTAGAGGGGTTCTTTACCGTCAAACAGGAGGCATTGCTATGGGATCAGTATCTCCGCTAGTCGCCAGTCTGTTTATGCACTCATTAAAAACAAATGCAATTATTAGATGCTCTAGCCCTCCAAGAACGTGGTTAAGATACGTGGATGATACCTTCGTCATAATCAGGCGTAGTTTGTTAAATGAACTTTTCCACTTATTAGCAATATGTCAGAAACCATTAAGTTTCCCAAAGAGGTTGAATCTGACGAGAATGATTTGGCGTTCCTGGACTGTTTAGGGTACAAAGGAAACTAGATGGTAAATTTAAAATAAATATTTTCAGAAAGCTGACAAATTCGGATAGATACCTAGACTACTATTTAGCACACCCCTTTACCACCAAAATAACTGGCCAAGAATTTGATTATCAGAGTCAAACGTCTAGTTACTCAGGCGGAAGAGATCAGCAGGGAATTAAAATTGGTTCAATCAAATAATTATCCTAAAGCCTTCATAAAAAGGTATTTAAAATATGAAGATATGGATGGATCGAAACCTGTTGCGAAGAATTGTGTTAGTACAGCGGTGATTCCTTACCATAAAGAAACATCCAATGAAATAAAGGGAAGCCTTAACGATCATGATGTAAGAGTGTATTTTCGTGCAACTAACACCTTACTCTCATCGCTGGTGAAGGTTAAGGTGGCGTCAGTGGCATAGTGGTTAGGACTCTCGCCAACCATGCACATGGTCCGAGGTTCGATCCCCTGCCGACGAAGCACACCTGATATCAATGGTCGGCCTGCAAAATTTGGGCTACCGATATCCATGCTGAAAATTCCATCCTTGTACCAAAAATACGGTGTGGAATCAAGCTGTAAATCAAAAAAAATAAATAAATAAATAAAAAGGATAGAAAAAGAAAACCAACAGAATTGTGTGTACGAGATCAATTGTAGGAGAAACTTTCAGACAAGTCAATATAACAGTGAAAGATCATTAACAATGTATGAAGGTGGTTCCAAAGACCTCCGCAGACTTAAGGAAGCTAGAAAACAGATCAGCGATTCCACTGCATTCGATAGAAACGGGACACAAGATCGACTTTCATAGGAGGAAGGTTCTACAGAAAGGTTTTGGTTCGTATAAAGAATGACTGACAGCGGAAGCCCTATATATATATGGGTGAATCCCAACAGTTTGAACAGACGTGAAGGTGTGATCTTGTTAGCTGATGCATGGTAAATCCTGATTAATGAATAGAAAATGGATATCTATCGATAATAAATCGTACTTGGTCAAAATTCCCGATTGTCTATATCTTCATGTGGACAGGGTAACAAATGTTATACAACTGTTTACCCACGCACACATATACACACACCATTGTATATACATTGTATACATTGCATATACACAAATATTTTCATATATAGTTATCTACGACCATAAACTTTTAGTCGAATGTAATATTATGAAAAGTGCGCTCTGTTTTAAGTGTTTAACAAAAGTAGACTAATTTTCGAAAGTCTGAGGTCAAATTTTGATCACAGCTCATACAATTTTGTTTATTTTTGTATAGTTTGGTTTGTAAGGATTAGTTATGTTTTACTCACTAGAACTCTAGTGAGAAGTCGTGACCAGTGAGGTCCAACTAGATGTCACGTGTGTGGATGGATGTCCCACCAACGACAATGGTTGGGGTCGCGCTAAATCACGAATTAGTAGAAGTTAGAATTCACGAGCCAACGAATCGGGTCCCAGTGGCTGAATGGTATACGAGCTTGCCTTGTAACCGGGAGGTCCCGGTTCGAAACCCAGTGGGTGCGTACTGCCGATGATTCCCAAACTAGGATGAAACAGCAGCTGTCCAGTACTCCCTGGTTTTCAATGGTTCTCTAACTGATATCAATCCGTGATCAACCCGTAAAATTTTGTTTATTATACATGTTGATACCTGTTTCATGACTTATATGGTTGGACAAAGTTTTTAAAAACACGAGATATTCCTTTTATATATTTAAACCTCTGTTATGTTAATTTGGAATAATTTCCCTGAAGAAGTTCAGACCAGACTGCCGAACCCAGGAAACGTTGGAGTAACTTATTTCAATTTCACTGAGATTTTACAAATATAATTATTTACAAATAACAGGCTAGTTTGAACAAAGTTAAAACGAACATGTTTATAAGATGGAGAGAAGGAGTGCACATTTTCCACATTTTACGGATTTTCATCAACTGCCAAGGACTAGACAACCGGTATAGCTTGGTGGAAATGCAGAAATATACATAGCATAACTAATTTCCTATGTCTAGTCTGAATAACGTCAGTCTTGTTTGCAAAGTGGTCATCATGCTAGCTGGTTTGCCATTACAGTGCACTCATAACTGTGGTTAGATGGTTAGATGTCATCGGCGGGAAGCTCCAAACATATATTTTGTGCTTGTTGGCACTCACTAGTGAACGAGACGTATCTGCAAATCTTGAGGGAACAACCCATATCCCTTCGGAGATTTGAAACCATGTCACTCACTGCTGCAATCAGAGATGTAACTGACTTATTGATATAAGTATAAAACTTCGGCCTTGTGGTAGAGTATAAAATTAACACTTGAATCGGAAAATGAACAAGTGTGGTGAGAGCAGGCCGTGAGAAAATATGAGCAAGGCTGATTCAACAACCAATCACAGCAAAGTTAACGTGGCAAAATATGATTCGCAGATAGAGAACTCTATTTGTCGAGGAATCCCGAAACAACCAATCAGAAGCCTGAGATTGTCTGCCTAACTTCTGATAAACAACCAATCAGATAACTGCGCTTGTCTACTTGCATAAGCTATAATAATGTATGTGAAATATGTATAAATACGTGCTGATTTTCATAATAAAACGATCTGTTGCTTCGCCCTTGTCTTCTGTTGTTACACAAGGAGAATTAGCTATGAAGTTAGACTGTAAAATAAAACGAATAGAAGAAAGGTAAACTGAACACTAGAGTTCATAAAACACCAACGCATTTTAATAGATATTTAGACCTTAATTCCTGTCACCCACCATCTGTCTGTGAAGGCAGGCTTAGTTAAGTGTCTAAGAAACCGTGCAGTAGCAAGCACTAAGTGCCACAAAAAAGACCTAAACGATGAAATGAAACAGATGGAAGAAGAGGCGTCGGTGTTAAATAACTAACTATTCTATAAAAAATCATTAGGAATATCAAAAAAAGGTCAAAAGCAAAATAAAAATAATGGCGAAACCAATAATGAAAACATGAATTAAAATGAATATAAAGCATCTACAACAGTTTTACCATATAAGGAGGGGACATCTGAGACCCTACCCACGTAGGATTCTCAATAAATCAGGAATTAGGGTGTGGCATTCAAACCTACAAACTCACTCAGGTAGGACAAGCTCTATAGGCTAAAAGACTCGGTGGACTCAATTAAACAAAATAATATAATTTACAAAATACCCTGCAATGACTGTGAGTAAGGTCAACTACATAGGTCAAACTAGTATGTCGGGGGTAGTCAGATTGTCGGAACACAAGAATTTATCAAAGGTAAGAATGGTTGACCCCACGAAAGTAAATAATTTACAGAAAGGACACCAGCAACTACACGGCATGCATAAATACACAAACACACAAAAGGGTGGTGGGAGAGGGTTAAAATTCTAAGAAATAATACAGGTAGATGGAGGGAGATAGAGGTTGATTAATGAATCCTGGTTCACTGAGTCAACACCCAACACGTGTAATGGGAGAATGACTCATCACCCATATCGAAAATATGGAAAATACTACTACCAATCAAATGAAGCGATGAAAAATAATTATGGAAGTATATAAACGAAGTTTGAAAGTTGTGTGAGTGAGTGCCTTGATATGATTATGACTAGTAATGATAAATTGTGCTCGAAACATGGTCACCAGTAAACATTACTGTATAAAAAACACTGTGTGATTTTGAACAAAGCAAGAACTACAGTTTTAGCAGAATAAAATGGTACCATCAGTGTTTATTTCGTTGCCTTCTCGTCAGCTGCTTAC